TCTTTTAGATTATTCTTATTAAAAAATTGTTGAAAAATTATCTGTGCATAAATTATGTATGCTTAGAGATAAATATTTCTTAGAAATTTGCTAACCTAGATCATATGTATAATAATTTTACGTACATTAATATTATATGGCAATATTACAATTATAATATATTATTTTGATATATTATATAATACGTCTCTCTATATCATCTAATTAATTTAATTTAACTTATTGATATATAACTTATAATTTTTTATATTTTACATAATGATTTTCTACATTTTTTCATATAGCTTTCTTGCCTAATAGAGATTTATCTGTTAACCGTATTTGTCACTCATAACACACTTACTGAGAAATTTCGTAATTTGAAGAATCGTCAACGCATGATAATCGGTCGGTGAAAGATCAGCTAGGAGGCAGAGAAAGGTACTTGCGTGGCGAACCGAACGTGACAAAAATTGTGGCGGGACATCGTCGACGAGACCTCGGCGGAATTTACCGACGCCCACACAGCTTTTGTGTACCCACGTGTCGACAGAAACGTAAACGGACCGATCGGTTACGAAATGTAATATCTCCACACAGGGTATCGGTATCACGGTGTAAATATTAGATCCGCATCCATATAATCGTGCGGCTATGATAGGTGGTGCATTAATTAATGGAAGTAATTGCCACGAAAGCTGCCGGAAACTACGAAGATCCACAACTATGCGCTACACGTTTAATTTACGCGAATCTGTATTAATTAGCTTACTTCGTTCGCACGGCGATTTCGTGTGAATGAACTGCTCACGAAGCGGTAGAACGAGGTCGATTCAAAGGTTAGTAGTGCTACGATAATTATCTTCCCCTCAGTTACATTGTAGCGCACATTGCGATTGTCGAAACCTACTTCGATTAATCGTAAGATTTCATGGACTTGAGAAAAGAAAACTTTAAATCTATAGAAATCTAATTATTATCTTTTTATAGACGGAAAAGTTTTTAGAAAATTTCATGAGAAGAAATAATGTTTTATTTCTTATAATTACAAATTATATTGTTTCCATTAAGCAGCTTCGATCATCTTTTTCAATTCAAAAATTAAATTTATCGAAAAAATCCGGCGACAGTGCGAGGCGAATGTTCGCCAAAAGTAACTTGGGCGAACTTACTCTTGCTTTCGCTAATATTCGCGCGAGTATCCCAGTATCCCGAGACACACCCTTACTATGCGGAAAAGAAGCGCGGCGATCGTAATTGCGAGCATAAAGCAATGTAATTACGTGGTCTAATTGCGGAACGGCGCGGCGCGTCCTTCCGTTGCACGCCTCACATGCGATTGCTAAGGAAGACTTATGGTGGTAATATTAAACGTCAGAGAGAGGAATGCCAGAGCATCGTTAATCTTAACGATATCGTTAAGGCCGATATCGTCCTTGGCGTTCACGAAGAAGAAGATGCGATCCTAATTTCTATTTTCGTGAAATCGTTGTCGTGTTCGCGAAGCGTATAGACGCGATCAGTTTATACCGTTTGTTCCATTTGCGCGAAATGAGCGTGGCTGGATAGAGAGAATTGAATTGAGTCCCGTAGAAAAGAGGCAACTGGAGATAAATGGAAATTCATTTCGCGAAATTAGAGTTAAGTGTCTTCTTTACCGAAATTCGATTTATGGATTCGAAGATGTCAAATCACGGTTTTAGATTAATATCACTTTTTTCAAATTAGAAATAAGACGCACGAAATCGAAAGATTTTTTTAAAAGAGATTCTATACACTTGTGTGCGTTTTTTAATTAATTAATTTAACGCATTGATGAATTACAGTCGATTTTTTATAGAATTGTCTGATGCATGCAAACGAAGAGGATTGACGCGCGAATTTTTTTGATCACGCTTTATTCGAGGAATATTTCGTTCTCCCTCAGGAACATTCTGGATCCCTCTGAAAGGGACGAACACGTAATATTGGATTTGTTAGCATGGCGTTAATTGCCAAACGAGGGACAATATAGAGAAAGAGGGAAGACCGCTGTAACTGATGCCGATTGCAAACGGTCGAATTCACGAGCTTGCAATCTACGCGGACGTAAATTTCCGTACGGTACAGTAAACTCGACCGAATTCTCGTCATTGTGCTTCGTTAGTGAAGCAATCAACATGATTTTTATGCTTATTCCGCGAACAAATTCGTTCTCGCAAAGTCGGGTTTAAGAGACTGATCATTAGCTCTTTTTATCCTGCATTTTTGGAAATTAATGCGTACAATAAATACTAACGATTAAACTAAATATTAACTTTTTGGCGGGAATTTCAGAAAATTTGATGTTATAATCTTGAGAAAGAAGAATTGGATTGTTGAGAATTCCGGCGGGAACTTTATCGAAAATTGGATCCACGCAATGGTCGCGTCGGGATTCTTTTCGTGGTAAAAAAGAAAGTAAAAAAATAGAGAAAAAGGCGCACCGAGAGACGCACGCAATGTGCCGAAAATAAGAAATCTCATGTCATTTTTGCGGCTTCTAGTAATGATATTATCCAGTCGCGTCGGGATTCTTTTCGTGGTAAAAAAGAAAGTAAAAAAATAGAGAAAAAGAGAGGCGCACCGAGAGACGCACGCAATGTGTCGAAAATAAGAAATCTCATGTTATTTTTGCGGCTTCTAGTAATGATATTATCCGTAGCTTGAGATAATACAATGATTGCGTGATAATGTGTGGGTGCTTTGACAATACGCCTTTGCGGATGAGCAATCACAAATCCATGCGCACATTGCGAAAGAAACTCGTTTAGCTTTTGACGAGTCGCATTAAAATTTTTTCGTGAAATAAAAGGGAACTTGTCATTCCCCCTTTACATCTCATTTGTCATTGCAGGGCTTAATTGTTATTTATAAATATTTTTCGATTAATGTGAACATTTCGTGTCTTGTGAACATTCGTTTCTTCTAAATCAAAATTAAGATTGTATTAACAGTTTTTGAGGTAGCATAAATGTTTTTATAAGCGAAATACTAAGGATGAATGATAATATTAATATATGACCTGCTTTATTAACGTGTCCCTAATATCAATTACAACTTCATTAAAAGATATGAAATTTCTCGCGCCGTATAATAATTTAAAAGTAGTCTCATGGCAATAAGTTTTTCGCTACTAATATCAATTCTTCGTCGTATTGCGTACTTGTCAATGACTATGAATACAGATAAGCGCAAGGTGCACTTCGAGCATCTCTCTACTTTGCTTGTAAATTGCTGGCGCAAATATCGTCATGGTGTACATAGTTGTTGGCGCAACGAGGTGCTTATTAAATTTCCGTCATAAATCTTTATTAAGTTTCCCGGAAACTTGCGCGACGATAATTTCCTTTTGTCTGTCAATGTTCGAGAAAGAGAGAGAGAGAGAAAGGAAGTGTGCCTGGAAAGCCAGCCGTGTTTCAGTAAGGTAGTTGAAGATGACAAGGTCCTTTAACAATCGCCCGATATATCGAGGGAAGAGTCCGGTAGAAAGAGAGAAGAGGCAACAAGGACCACCCGGACTTCGAGGACTCTCACGAAATCTTGGCAAAGCTCCTGTTACGGATATACTCCATTATGCTGCGAGACGCGCATACAACTCAGTCACAATTCCTCCCGATTTAACTCTACTGTCTCCCCTCAATTACCCCTTTGATTACATTCGAATAACAATTATCAGTAATTACCGGAAGTAAAAGGAAACTGCCGTCCGGTGGATCTTCTTTTGCTTTTCTTCATTTTCCACCATTGAAAATTCAAAAGCTTCGACTTATACGAAAATACGAAAACGCGTATAGTGAGAAGATATGCGATTATATAGAATTCAATTTAATCTTAGATTTTTATCTAGAAAATTATTAAATTTTTTTATAAGAAATTATACAAATTAAAAATTATACAATTATTTTTGTACGATTAATTTTAACATGTTCTGATCTGACATTCAGTTCAATGTTTCGACATCTTGGATTGAGATTTTTTATAATTTACAATCTTATATTTTTGTACTTAAATATATAATAATATATACGTAAGATTTTGATACTTGCAATACAAATCGGAAATTGAATGAATTGAATTTTATTCATAAAATCCCAGGTCCTAATATTTCGATCTTATATATAAAAATTTTCCAGAGATTTATTTTGTATCTTTATTATGATCTCACGACATTTTATAAAATCACGAGTTGTCTTGTGTGTTATCGGCATGCCCGCGTTACATCAGGACGGCCGGATATACATGTCTAGTAATCAGTGGTGTGCGTATGTCGTGCGTGACGACGGCAAGCGACAGTGAATGGTTGCCAACCACCATGGGAAGGATGTGGTGAGCCCCGCCAGTTTCGTGTTTCGTGCGAAGGTGAAACTTCGGGTCGCATACGCACACCCGCACACACATACGCATATATACACGTGCATAAAATTAACGTGCGGAACAACAAGACGTGCGCTTCTTCCGTTGCTTTTCTTTAGGTATACCTAGCGTCACAGAACGTATTTGAATGCCAATCGTTTATGAGAATTTTAAATCTTCACCAGAAAATTGTGATCCAAAAAATTTAACTTTCAATAAATCAATTCTCGTTTATTAACAAGAAGAATCCGCCAAATGCATTATTCAAATATGATAAACGAATGCAGTGGGAGCGAATTACGTGCCGCGAATTCTATAGAATCGATATTAACGTACTTCCAATAGTAACGTTGAACGCGCAGAAAACTTCCAGAGAGAAAATTTCGCGACATATAGAACAAAATATATTTGGCTACATATTTATAGCAAGATGAAAAGAATTATAGAAAAAGAATTATATTAAAATCGAGAAATGTTAAATATATCCTTCGAGCCACCAAATATTATATCCTTAAATCCTTGTTACATCCCTTGTAAGAGAGAATCCTTATTTTCCTCTTATAAGAGAATTATATATAAAGAAAATTTAGAAATACTATTTTTTACGAAAACGTGACCTTCTGTCGTTTTTTTGTTTGCTCGCGAAGAATCCAATTTGAAGTGTGGATCGAGGCTTGAGATGAAGAGTCTGACAAATTCTGAAGCTTATCGAACACGGCAATGCTACAGAAGATAAGTTGAAGTTTCGAGTTGGCCATCTCGTAAATACTTGGGATTCGATATCATCAGGAAATAATGCGGCGGGAAAAACTGTCATATAATATTTGATTCGGATCGAAAATACGCGATACAATATAGACAAAATGCAGCATCCAAAAGCAGGCTTGTGTCGTCTATTGTCCATGTCGCAACGTAAGCGAGGAAGAAGAAACGACCATCAGCGCCGAGAAAAACTGGTCCTGGAAGAACCTGCCTCAGACACATGAGAACCCGTGTATTCGAGAGGAGATCAAGGCGTCTCAGACACGCGGAAAAGACGACGATGAGATCGATTTTGATTATTCGCTGTAATCGCTATTCCATTAAACAAGATTGAATAATCTCCCTTGATTTTGAAGATCAGCTGTTCGAATAAGTAAATTGTTTTTCATTCATTTAAAATCATTATTTTTTTTTTATAAGGATTGCTCTTTTGTCATATTTGTCATAAAATAACAATAACTATTATAATTTTAAAACATGCATATATTATATATTATACCTAGATTACCTCTTATATTAAATTGTTTCTAAAATTTTTTCCTGGCTCGGATATGTGTGAAATATGTTGTATATATAAATATGTAAAATTAGTTTCGAATATCTCTTTAGACGTGTATTTTAATAACAAAGCTACTTGAAATTGTTTAAAGCATATGTGGGTGCACAAGTCGAGTGCTTGCGATCGCTGCGCAATTCGCGTGTATTTTTGTCTCGATCGATACCACTTCGTTCGACGTTAGAAACACGAAATACTCGTCCGGTGCGATATTAAATCGCCGCCTTTTACCTCGCTCTGGTCATGAAAAATTTCATTACAATTGATAAAGGTAGCTGAGGCTTGCTCGTGCATTGCGATGTCCCGTATGCGTTTCCATTTACAAAGATATCTCATGACACACGACGCACCGATTTTTTTCGTTCTCTACGAGAAGTAAGTATGTAAACCACGCGCGCGCACGATTATATAACACAATGTGTTCGTTTTTAAAACAGTTATCTAGAAAAAAAGCGTAACACAACGATAACATTTATGACGCCGAGCTTACGTGACTCGGAGTGGATGGGTATTTGCAAAAACAACACGTCCGCAGTTTATTGCAAAATTGCGCTGTAATTGCTATCAATTTATTAATTCGCAATCGAGCTTTTACTACGCATGTTGCCAAATTTTTTAATGGATATCTTGTTGAATTAATATCAAACGCCCAATAACTTTTGCACGTTTACTGCTCGATGAACTTCAACGCATGCGTGTATGTTAATAGGTGTTTAATCGTTCGGCAACCACCCAGCAGGGAAAATTGAAATTCTATTTGTATTTTGTTGCTTGTTCGATTTACTCGTAATATAGCACGAGAATTTGGTGGTAGGTTATTATATGTATATAACAAGCATATATATGTATATATAACGTCTCGTGAGTTTCGAGAACTCTGGTTGGTAAGCATAAATTCGATGTAATTTGTGCAAACTGGTAGAAACTTGCTTGTAAATGTTATAATTAATGTATATATTAAATAATGGTCTTAATAAATAATGATCTCTTACAAAATATTCCCTGGGGAAAATTTGAATTTAGATTAGTCAAAATTTATCATTAAAGTTAATGTGAAATAGCTATAACAAATAATGATCTGTCTAAGGAAAATCGAATTCAAATTAATTACAGTTTTATTGTTAAAATTAACGTAGTAAAGATTGTGAAAATTGTCCTAGATATTCATTTTCTCAATTTCATATCTCGAAATATTAAAATACGAATGCACCAACCATCTCAATTTATCCATCAATAAAAAAGCAGAAGATATCTACTTATAACAAGAAAGAAATATATTGTGCATCGAAAAAAGGAAAATAGCAGAATATATAATAATATGATGCGTAATATTTATCGACAAATACTAAATTAAAAATTTTCATCCGATCGAATAAAGATATTTTCGATAAAATAGGTATGAAAGGAAATAAACCAGTAGAAGATACTTTGATGTATTCGTGTAATGCATATTGCTACTATATATAATGTTTTCTATATACAGATTCTCTCTTTAACTATATACGCGTATTATATATAAAGTTTTTTTTAAAAATCTTATAAAAATGCACACGTGGCATTTAAAAGATTGTAATTTTATAAGCGTTATTTATAATTCTTCAATGTGTGAAAAATTCCACCGTCTCTTAATGAAAAATAATTATGAGAAAGAATACATAAAGTATCTTTTGTCTCCGACAAGTTCGTCGGATATCAAAGACTTCGTTAAATCAAATTAAATATTTTTGCTTGCACTTAATTACAAAATAAAAAAACTATTTTCTCTGTTATTAATCAAAATAAGTGGTATAGATGATCTTACTTGTCGATTTTAGCCCGCGCCATGTTTTCCCAACTGCGAACTGGGTTAGCGAGTCTTGTGAAAGAGGATTCTCTGGGCAAGTAGGCGGAACAGTGCCAGCTGTGTCTCCAAAAGGTACTTCCGCTCACCCTTTCTCGATTCTTCAACGACACTATATCTTTCTCACTCATTTCACTGTCCACGACGAGGCCTATTTCATACACCGTGTTTACACGTTGATTTGTCTCATCGGCCTCGTGAACACGTGGAGAACACAAAAATTTTACATCTTGTATATGTATCTTATATAACACAGTACTAATATTCCTCCTCCGTTGCTTCACTTTGTCTTTAACAAGATTCCGTTTGTTTTACACAATCGAGAAGATAGAATTTTGTTTTATCTGGTAATAAAATAATTAGCTCAATAACGTGATTCAAAGGACGGATTATATAAGCGATTTCGAGTGACACTCGTGTATATAATTTGAATTTCAAACAGTCAGCTGATAGCAAAATAAAATAATATCCTTGATAATTGGATAGAATCATAACGAGTGGATAGAATGAATGAGTTTTGGAAACAGATGAAAATTCTGTATGTGTGGGAGATTGGCAAAATTCTCCCGATTTGTAATCGATAAAATATTTCGCGATCGGAGGCACTCTAATAATAATTGAGGACAGTTAAATTGAGAGAGCTTCTGCTTAATTTGAAGAAGAGTCGACGACAAAGTAATCTGTGGAATTCTCAGCCGGCGCCCGATGGCGAATATTACTTCGCTTAAATGAATCTGAATGAAGCTATTATCTAAACGTTTGTTTCATTTTCCTGATATTTTCGTTCGGCGGTTTGATTATATGTAAAAAGCGAGGCTATTAACAGAGAAGATAAATTTGAGAATATCTTGCAGATATCATCATATATACGAATATATTTTTAAGGAAGAAATTAATCGTTTATAATAAAAAAAAAACTGTGTTATTACAAATCCGAAAGACATTTTCTTCTGAATTTTCGAAAGATTTTATGCACTCGATGTTAGTGCGCAAGAGCGTTGAGGTAATTGCTGAGATAAGAGAGAAGTGCATGGTATCTAAATTACTTCCATCAGAGGAATCGCCGAGGCAACCTCGTAGGTAGACAACGAGAAAAAAATCTGTGGCAATGTCTCGCTTAATTAAGCCAATAATTTATCTCGCGCGATAAATAACGGGAAGCGCCAAGCGGTGTCGCGAGGATCCAAAATCCACGGTAACTCCGCGTTTCCTCCCGCGCCGGATCTGACTAGCACGACCCGAGAGGAAGAAGAGGATCTCCGAGTTCGCGTAAGCGGAAGAATCCAGCGGAGAGATCCGCGGATTGACGAAGGTGAGCAGGTTTCCTGCGAGAATTCTCCGTTGCATTCCCCCGGGGGTTGATTAATCGCGGTCGTTTGGAAATTTTATTGGCTCGGTTACGTGCGAGTTATCGTTGTTTTCCACGAGAGCGACTTCCGGCCTGGCAGGACTTGCTTTTGTATTCATTTAATATGCCGTTTCATTATATTGCGAATGATTTATTAACGTTCGCTCCGAAATTGCTTGTCGATTCTCGATATCGAGAAATAATTTCGAAGTAAAACGTTGATGTTACTTCTCAATAAAATATTATTTCTCGATATAATCGAGAAATGTCAAAAACTTAATTGTCATCTCTCTCTTTGTGTTACTCAAGAGTTTTTTATTCTCTGGAATGTTTTGGAGTAACACCTCATGATTGTTTGTTGTAATAATTAAAAAATAATAATTACTTATATATCTGAGTAATATTTGTCAAAGAATGCAAATAATTTATCATTAGATAAAAATATAGATGATCTATATTATATAACAATAAATTAAATAAAAAAATAGATGATCTATATTATATAACAATAAATAAAAATAAAATATCAATCTTATAAAAATTTCTCGCGGTATTTCTACTCCAAAAATTCATTCTAGAAAGAAAATACTCGAGAAATAAAAATATAACAAAATATCGATCTATAAATTTCTCTCCAAATTTTTATTCCAGAAATTCATTTTAAAAACAAAAGGTACTCTCTTGAGAAATAAAAATTTAATAAAATATCATTCTCATATATAAATTTCTCTCCGAATTTCTACTCCAAAAATTCATTCTAGAAAGAAGATATTCGAGTATATGCGAACGAAGAATTGGGCAGTGTGCCTGGCGGATTCTCGAATCGGACTGGACCGAAGGTGAGCGGATCTTCTGCGAGAATCTCGCATGGTGCCTGCCACCGATCGACCCACTCCACTCAATGGATCATGCAGAAGTATTTTCGAGTGTTCAAGGTCAACGTGTGTGCAGGCGCGTACACACACCGTGGGGAATCTTTGCTTAAACTCTCCATGATCATCGTTCACAATAAACTCAGATGAATTGAAAATATTTTTCCACTGATAAAAATGTCATTAGTAGAACGCGATATCACTCGGAGATTAATTTAAAATTTGTTTCGGCGCGCTTTTTCTTTTTTTTTTTTTTTCTTTCCCTTTTCTTTTATGCCGAAACTACACGGGGCGCAGAATGTCTATTTTAAATCCGGTGACCTCTGCTGCAATTAACGAAGGTGGGTGCGATATAATTTTGCGTGGGTCTCAACGAGGCCGGAAATGTCGGTGGACGAGAGAAAAACTGGCGCGCGCAAGCGCTAAATGACGCCGGGATCGCTCTCGCCCTTTACATATATCGCGCTCCAAATTGTATTTGCATTGCGCGGTATAATTTGTAAAATGCTTTATTTGTAGCCAGATAGTTTTTAATATATCGCAACGCCTGTGTAATAATTTGACGAATCTCTTTCTTTGTATGCCAAAAATTTCTGCGATATTTTTATTTTATTTTATACATCGTGGCTACATAGAAGAGAGAATGTGAGAAGAAATAATTAATACGTCTTGCATTAAAAATATCGAGAAATTATAGGAGTACTCTTTCGAGATACAAACACGGTTTCGCAGGAGATTCATTCACCGTTAAAGATCGATGTGACGTTGTGGATGCTATTTTTTAACAAGGTATACCAGAAAATTCATCATCCGGTTTCATAGACGATGGACCGAATTTGTCATCGACACTCAATCGATTTGCGGCCGCGGATCCGGAATTGCGCGCTGACACGCGGCGCTCGAAAATGCGCGGACGTGGGCGGTAAACAAAATGCGCGAACGCAAATGCGCAGACGATGGTGTCGAAACTATCGACAATAAGATGTACAACGGACAACGACGATCTACCGACCACAACGACGATGACGAGGACAGCATGCTATCAGCACGACGGCACGCGGCGTACTGCCTTCGTCGATTGCAGCGCTCTGCTAAGCCGGTGACGTGCCGCGCGTCCCGCGATGCGCCGCGCGTTGCACCTTCGGAATGATCGAGCCGGTTCGCCGACCGCCCGCTGCTGCTGCTGCTGCTGCTGCTTGCTCCCTTCTTCTTCGAGACGAAGGGGAGAAAAGGGAGAAAAGAAAGGTACCCGAGGAGCGGTCAGACGGGCGAAGAGCACGTTCTCGGATATCCCGCTCTTTTGGCCGCGCGAGACGGCGGAGTTTGCGTTGCCCGCGAATCGTGCCCTTAAAGGGCGCCCGGGCCGGGTCCGACCCGATGCCCTTTATTTCCAGCGCACCGAGCGGATCACGCCCAATACAAATTAATCAATCTAATACGCGAACGGCGATGAAACGACGACGCGGCTAGAGAATAGACGGGTATAATTGTGGCTCTTCTACGGAGGCGATGGCTATCGATTAGTCACGTGGGATGCTCGATAATGGACCGACAGGTTTATGAATCACGGCGCGCGAGATCGACACGAGAGAATTGCGCTCGCATTCCTTTGTCGCGCGATATTATACGCTCGAGCTGCTCGAAACTATATTTTCTGCCGGATCGCTTGTGTCGTATCAATGAAAAAAATCAGTATAAATGTGGAAAAAGATTCGATAATTATAAAAATTATAGACGAAATGATAATAAAGGTTAAATGTGAAAAAGAATATTTATTCTTTTTTTATATCACGGTGTCTGCGGTGTAAACAATCTGATAGTCGAGTTTCGAATGGAAATTTCATGACGACCGATACGCGTGATGAGATTAAACTGGAAAATTCAATTTGTTACGTTTCACACGTGTTTCAGCTTTCAGCTGTCGTCA